GACTATATATATCATGTGTATAATTTAACAATAAATTTTTGTATTTTTTTTTTTACCTTTCTTACGTAGCTCCTCCATTTCTTTCTCTTTTCTTTTTCATTCGTCTCATACTTTTTTCATTTCTTTTTTTTTTTTTTTTTAATAAGTGTGTATAATGTACACCGATCACAATTTTAGATTTTTTTGTCCTTTTCCATTATTTTTTACCAATCACAAAAAGTTTCTCTAACTCACCCTCTTTAATTCCAAATCCAACCCCTTCCACTGTTTTCAATTTCTAGCCGAGAAATCACGCGCCCGGTTTCGATACAAAAGTTTTCTCGTTAAAAATATCTTTCTCTCTTTTATTTATTTTTTTTTTAATTTCTTTTTCTATCTCTCTCTCTTTATCTTTCATTTCTTACATTTTTGTTGGTTGTTATACTCTACTACGATAGGCTTACTAGTTGACAATTTTATTATTTCATTGTGTTTTTCTTTTATTTTTTATTCGAACGAATTTAAAAAAAATGAAAACGAGACTTTTCTCTCTCTCTCTCTCTCTCTCTCTCTCTCTCTCTTTCTCTCGTTTCATCGCTAATCGTAGATATTTATTGATTTCATTTTTCTTTTTAAACTACAATTTTGAATAACGGCAAGTGGTTATTTTACAATCAATCGTATTTCTTTTAATTAAACAACACTTTACGAGATTTACATTTAAAAATAAATTGCATAATTAAAAAAGAACAAAATATACAAAACAAAATCAATCGATAATGAATAATACAATTAAATCAAAATTATTATTAAAAAAAAAAATATATATATATATTTAATTTATTATACCCATTTTAACCTAACATTTCTCAAAATTGTTTCTCTCTACGATCATTTTCGTCATTTTATTTAATGTAGCTAAAAATGATCAAAAAAAAAAAAAAAAAGAAAAACAAGAACAAACAAAACAAAAATATCAAAGAAATCAAATCAACGAAACATGTAGAATTAATCAAATCAGTAGATAAGTGTACAAAGATAATCTCAGTGGTGGGAGGAGAGCTAAAGGTGGGGGAAAAGGAGTGGGGGGGGGAATGGAAATCCGCGCGTTTACAAAAATTACTCGCTCGGCAGCAAAAATGTATTATTCATATATCAAAATTACCTTAGCGTTAAAAACTACCTCTCTCATTATACATATTATATAATATATATATAATATATATATAATATAATTTCAGCTAGGTTAGGTAATTAGGTATAGTATAATTACTACTATATTAAAAGGGGGTTGGATTAGGTGGAATAAAGTAGGTAACAAGAACAAGGATTCGAACTGGCATTAGGAAAAGGGAAATGGATTACGAGCACGTATATATTCGCTTTGTTTTGTTTTTTTTTTTTAAATTACTGACGGTACTTTCGAAAATACAAAATCGATCAACAACAATTCTGAGAAAGATAATAACAGCTTTTTACTAAATCTCATTTTTAACCAATCCTTCCCTTTACTCTCCGCTCCCCCTCCTCCTCCTCCAATTTTTAATTTCATTTTCATTTTTCATTCAAATTTTACACGTGGCAATAGTCACGTGACCCATTTTTGTCAATTTTTAATGATCACTTTTTCAATGATTTTTTTTTTTAATGTCATTCTTAAATGATCACAATTTAAGGATCGTTTCATTTTTGTTTTTGTTTTTGTTTGTTTGTTTTTTTCTCTCTTCTCTATTTATCATTTTCTATTTTCATACAATTAAACAACACAACAGCAACAGTAGCAGCAACAACAGCAGCAGCAGCAGCAGCAACAGACACACACGCACGCATAAAGAACACAAAATAAAAGCATTCGATATATGTTTTCCTCCCCCACAACACCCCTTCACAGATTTTTATAATACATTCACCCTTATTTTTTTATTTCTTTCTCTTTCTCTCTTATCAAGTGGGGGTGGGGGTGGGGGGTGGGGGCTGGTGGAAGGAGGTAAATGCTTTTAGTCTTTCTGTTCGTTTTTTTCTTCTTCATCATTCCATTACGTAGTATACATATGATATAATTGTTGTGAAAACTTGTACGCGTGTGTGTGTGTGTATATGTATGTATGTATGTATGTATGTATTTATGTATATTTATATGTTTCTATTTGCATGTACATAATCTTAAATGTGTTTGTATACGTATACGTATGTATGTATTCTGTGTATATTTATATATAAATGTGTTGGTAATTGTAAACGGTGAATTAAAGTCAACAAATTGGTATAAATTTGATTTTCAGATTGATATTTGTAATATTAATCATTGTTTTGATCATAATATACAAATAAATCATGAAATGAATTTTTGTCTTTGATTTACTTGTAATCTTTTCACTGTTATAATTACCAACACACACACACATATAAATATATCTTTTTTGTTGTTTTAATTAGTAACAATAACGTCATTCTATTTTTTGTTGACAATTTTGTTGATTATTTTGTCGAGATAACTTTTTAATATGAAACGATCGATCAAAACGCGCTCATCATCATCATCATCATCATCATCATCGTCGTCACAGTTTTCGTCATAGTTAATTCTTCCAAGCCTTTTTTTTTCGTCATGTATTATTTTTATAATAATCGTCGTTATTCTTGAACGATATTCCTTTCGTACGAATAATAATTTCTCGTAGGAGGCCGAATACGTGTATTCGTAAAACGTAAAATCGGCATTGATCATTATCATCATCATCATTATTTTATCATCATCATCATCATCATCATCATCATCATCTTCGTCTTCATCTTCCTCTTCCTCCTTCTCCTTATTTTGTTTCACGTGAAAAAATTTTTATTCGGGTTTTAAACGATGCCATTGTATTACCGTTTGTTTAGGTTTCGTTATCATATCTTGCCAATGTTTCGTCTCACTTGCCCCACTACCATTTTTTCCTATAAAAATAAAAATTATTATAAACAATTTTATTTTTATTTAATATTATATTTTGTGATGGAAATGTTAAAAGATATGAAAATTAATTTTTCATTGTTATTTGTCGAATTAATATAATCATTATTAAATGTAATATTAACGATCATGATTGAATTGATTATTAAACAAAATTATATATTTTAAATAAATAATCAATTATTTATAAAATTAATTATTAATAAATTAAAAACAATTTGTTAAAAATAATATTTGATTTATTATTTATAAAAAAAAATATTCATGCAATGATAATATCCTTTTTTATCAAAGATACTGAATTCAATTTTTATTTATAAACAAATCGAATAAAATTAAAACAAAAATATAATTTCAATATTAAAAACAATACTTCGTTAATAACAATATATTTAATATTTTTATGAAAAAAATTTAAATTAAAACTATTTGAATTATGATTAAACACATATTAAGTTTATACAACATTACGTATAACATATCATTCATGAATTATATAACATCTGTGTATTAACTAAACTTCTAAAGTTTACCTAATTTACCTGCGAGCTGTATACGACCAATAAGCTCATTACGTCCTATATTGTCAAAGTCCATGACCATAACATCCAGAGAACATTCTCTGATCTTTTCCCATGGTACATTGAATGCAAATGTTTCGTTGAATACAGGATTCAAAGTACATTTGAATATAGGTGTCTTACGTTTCTCGATTCTCTTATCACCAAATTGTAACCAAACTTTAACATAAGGATCTGAAATATATAATCATTTTTTTAATAATAATAATAATAATAATTAATCAATCGAACTATTTTTCTCAAGTCATTTCATTTTCACGAGTGTGACACGTAACACGTATTCAGTGTTTTTATAAATCATTCTTATCATTGATTATTAAACTCGTGAAAATATGAAGAATATCATTTGATAATAGTAGTGAAAAATGTTTATAATAAATTATAAATATTTATTATAATTATTTTATAATTTTATCATTAATTTTTAATTATTACAATAATTTTCTAATAATTTTTATTATACATATTTTATAATATTTTATATTTTATTATACATTATTAAAATAATTATTTAATGATAAAATAAAGGAACATTATTTTTGTTACCTGATTTTCCATTAATGTCTTTGGCCTTGAGATTTCTAGCTTTTAACAGAGACAACGTTAGTACTGAATTACTTGGATGATAAGACAATGAACATAAAAGTTCACCGCACTTGTCTTTGGCCGGTGGTTTAAGTGCTTTCCAAAATGATGGTTTTTCTGATAAATCAACCTACAAAAATCACATAACATCTTCATTTTATTATAAATAATATATATACGAATATAAATAAAAAGATAAAAGATTATATACAGTGTATACACACAAATGTGTTATTACGTGTGTGTTACATAATATGGGGAATATGAATATTTAAGAGAAATACGAGAAATATATACTAAGAGGTATACGTGTGTATATATGTATATATATATGTATGCTATGAGAAATCATATGTATGTATTGTCGTTTATTTACGTTGGTCATACATTTGTAGGTTGAATGTATGTCTATTTCTATTGACGTTATTCGATCCATGAAAGATGAGAAGATAGACACAATCGTGATTTACTCTTGGGAAATGAATGTGTACTCAGAAATGGGAATAATCATTGCTATGTGCTGTGTCCTTGTCAACACATACATATATATATATATATATATATATACTCGATATGTGTAAGCATGATTCTCGAATTAATTTGCTATGGTATTAACATGATACTACGTTTTATCGTTCATATTGTGGTTATATTCTTAAATTGATATTTTAAAATAATTTCTTTTAATTCTGTTTTTTTTTTATATAGTTAAACAATATATTTTAACGAACAAATAGATAACAGTGTAAATGTTATATCAATAAAATATTAAAAGGTTTTACATACATTTATAAGAATTTATTTTAAAATATCAATTTTCTTTAATATATATATATATAAATTATGTGTCACGTTGTTTGTTTGCAATGGACTTCTAAACTACTGAACTGATTTGAATAACATTTTGCACACTGTGTATAGTTTCATTCAACTTGAAAGATAGGATAGTTTATATCTTAATTTATAATCGCAATAATTATAAATTGACTTAAAGACGTGTGTATTGGACTGATTGTGAGCCACAGCAACGCGTGGTGGGGCACCCCTAGTATAATATATATATATATATATATATGTAACGTGTATGCAATTCTAAATTACCTGACAAAGTGGTAGAAAAATTTCTCCTATAGAATCGTCCCTCGAGAAACGATCGTAATCAAAAACGTGAAGATGCAATACTCTGCTTTGCAACTTTTGAATTGGAAAACCTGCAAATTAAAACATATATTTATTATATTTATTTTCAATAAAAAAAAATGTTCGTTGGTTTATGACACACACGACGAGGTTACAATTGATTTTTATTAAAAAATAAAAAAATAAAAAAGAAGAAACATTTGTCGATACCAAAATAATTTCACTTTCGTATCATTGACTTATACGATTAATTACAATTTACAATTTCAACGTGATACTACCGGATTGTAAATCATTCAACACGTTCGTTGATTTTTCGTGTGTGCATATTGAATAAAAAATGAGTGATAGTAAAAAAAAAAAAAAAAAAAAAAAAAAAAAAAAATGGCAAATAAAAAATAAAACCGACAACAGGATACATTGTTATTATTTTTTTTTTCTTTTTTTTTTTTTTACGTTTTCCAATACCACTT